ATTTTGCATTTGCATCAAACCTTTGCTTTAATCAAGCCAAGTCGTTCATCACTTCGTTTCACCACCAATTTTTCCATTGGCCATCCATCAATTTTGGCGTATTTTGTGATATGATCCATGAGGATGTCATCCTCATCACTCCAGTCATCGTACAAAACAATTTCATGCAATAATTGTGGAGGTGTTCGATCCAGGATGCTATTTATCATACGAATCAGCACTGATAATGCCTCATTGTGATAGATTATCACTATACTTGCTCTCAACGATATTCCATCGTACGTTATATTGGAACACCTGAATATTTAGCAGTTGAACAGTGAAGTTGAACTGCATATTTCGATTATCACTTTTGCAGAGTCAATTATTACGATTCATAAATTCATATGTGAATCCAATACGTTGCTGTTCAATGCGGCCATTAGATTTTCTGTGGCTTAAAACATGTTTTTCGAGTTAATGTGCAATCTTTGCAAAAGGCTGATGAGTTGGCCAAGGCAATACGCCCGAGGAAGTGAAATACCAATCATCGATCAAAACTGAATGAACACTATTGGGTGATCAACTGAATGATCTGACTAGCAGTTATTCGCACAAAGGATTGATTACGTTGATCTGATAGATTGTTTGTAAATGATTTGGCATGACCCACAATTCATGATACATCGGCTGTAGCTCTCTTCTTGGACCAATTTTATCGCTGGCCAAGACGTCGAATGCGAACTTCTCCTCACCCCATTTGTAGCGTTCTCGTTCGTTGTCATCTTCAATTGAAGCAATCGGACGTTTCGTCAAAATATCACATCCAGTTTTGTTGGCGTTCACTTTTGACCATCCTTCCAAACTGAAATTCATTTCTGCGATGATTATTTGAAATTTTCAACTGGTAATTTGAAAANTTTTTTATTGAGTTCAGCAAGCAAACGATCATTTCGATTCCATTTGCAAAATCAAAGTATAATCGTATTTTTGTTCTTTTTCATAATCTTTCTATTTTTGACGGCAAACATAATGCATTCGACTGCAATTTTACTGGTTGAAAGGATGGCGAGAAAAACTACGAGAAATTATTTATGTGCAGAAAAATGTCGGAAGAATATTGCCTTTTACCAATTACAATGAACAAACGAAACGAAACTTGATTTTACGAGTGCTTGAAAGCGACGAATGAATATTTCAAGTGTTTTCAATGAAAAGAGTTAAATTTATTGTTTGTTCTAAGAAAGCATCAAGAAGAGAATGGTTGAAAAAATGAAAACTGCAGATTATATGACATAAATGAGTAAGTGCAATGAACAATGGATCACATTCGTTTGCAAAAAAAAAACGATTCATAGAATTCGATGGACGAAAAACTCGTAAAACTAACTCAACATAAGGATCAATATGGATACATTTTGGTAGATTGAGTGTATCGTTTTTCTCATCCGCTCGTGCAACACAG